AGCCTGTCAGTAGTAGGACTTGAACTCTTGGGCTTGGGCGCTGTCCTTGAGCTTTTCAGCTCAAGGCCAGTGTTCTACCACTTGAGCCACAGTACCACTTCTGGTTTTCTGGAGATAAGAGTCTCTTGGACTTTTCTGCCTTGGCTGGCGTTGAACCTCAATCCTCAGATCTCAGCCTTCTGAGTAGTTAGGATTTACAGGCATGAGTGAGCCACCGGCACCCAGCAGTAATCTTTAATGACTGCTGATTTCAGGAAAATATAGATGGCTGATGCCTAAACAGTGTGTGCTCTCTGCGTAGCACCTGTTATGGAGTTTACAGAAAAAAGAAAGAGGAGCTAACTCTGATGAGATTGTAGATCCAACTGCCAATTTCCATACTAGAAAATACAGAAAATGTGACATAAAACCATAAAAATGCCATGAATAGTTCCAGGATCTGGGAGACTTACTTAAGAAATTATATATATATATATATATATATATTTATATTTACACACACTTATATGTATATGTATATATAGGAGCACACACACACTTTCACACAACTTCAAGAAATAAAAAAGAAATAGATGGAAGCAGATCTAGAAGATACAAGAATCATAAGATCCAAATTGACAATTTGAGGACTTTTTGCAGATCCTGCCTTGTTCATTATTCTCTCTCTCTGGAGAAAGGAAGTGTGTGTGTGTGTGTGTGTGTGTGTGTGTGTGTGTGTGTGTGTGAGTGAGTGAGTGAGTGATTGGGGAAATATGAGCTTTGACAGGGCATCTGGTGACATTAAGAATTAAAAAGAGTTTTGGGGAAGGTCATGGTAGTACAAGTCTGTAATCCAGCTTTTTGGGAGACAGAGACGGGGGGGGGGAGGCTGGGAATTCAAGGCCAACCCAGGAAAAATCAGTCCCTGTCTCAAGAACCAATTACAAATAAAAGGACTTGGGGACTTTGCTCAGGTGGTCCAGTGTTTGCTTTGCAAATGTAGGCCTGGCTCTAGCCCACAAAGAAACCAACATATAAGTATGATAGTGGTATTGTTGTTTGGTTAAGAAGACTTTTTTTTTGAGTATCAGTAGCAGGTTGGACATAATTTATAGATTGTCAGATGTTTAGGACTTGTTTCAGATAATGAAGAAAGGAGAAGGGGGAGTCTAATGGGTGGGACTATGGGAAGATTGGCTAGGAATGGAGCATTGCTGGAGCTGGGGTTCGTACTCTGCCTCTATTCTTGTATGTTTGAAATGAACCAAAACAATAGTTGTTGTAGTTGTTTTTTCTGGTTGTCTTTATGCTGATCCTGGGGCTTAAAAGCAGTGTCTAGGTATTGGCATTCTGCTGGTTGATTGGCCTCCTGGAGGCCAGGTGCTGGTGGCTCACGCCTGTAATCCTAGCTACTCAGAAGGCTGAGATCTGAGGATTGCTGTTCAAAGCCAGCCTGGGCAGGAAAGTATGTGAGACTCCTATCTCCAATAAACCACCAGAAAACCGGAAGTGGTACTGTAGCTCAAGTGGTAGAGTACTGGCCTTGAGCTGAAGAGCTGAGGGACAGCACTTAGGCCCAGAGTTCAAACCCACCACCACCAACAACAAAAAAAAGAGTTTCCTGGACTTTCCTCCCTTGGCTAGCTTTGAACCTTCATCTTTAGATCTCAGTCTCCTGAGTAGCTAGGATTATAGGTATGAGCCACCAGTGGATAATTCATGAGATGAATTATCTTAAACATCATGTATAATTAAAATCGTAAAATGACTAGATTTTTCAGAAGGCCAATTTTTCATTTTAAATATTTGTTTCTCTAGCTCTTGTTTACCTCATCCTTTGGGCTCAGTGATCCTAAACTATCAAGAAAACAGCTAAGCAGTCCATAGTATTTGGACATCATTTTCCCAAACAATTTCAGGGTTCCCTTCTCAGCTGACCAAGGTTTTTTCATGACCACGGAAAGGCCTTTGGCCATGATGCCAGCTGGACCTTGCTCAGGACAGAGAGGAGACTGCTAGTTTGCTCTCCGGTGTTGCTAGGCAGTGTCTTCCAGTGAGGTTGGCAACAATATCTGTGGCTCAGTGTCCTATCATTACTTCAGTTTTTAAATTTCTGGGACTTTGAAACTTCCATGAAGAGAATAAATAATGGTGTTTACAAGTCAGATGATGTGTGCAGTTCTTTGTTTTAAAGTTACTTAAGTGGCTTTCTGGCTAGCTGTAAAGACATTTAAATGTGAGGGAGCTTTCTGTTTCTCCCAGAGCACTGCCTTACTCTACAAAGATGGCATTCCTAAGAAATATACTAGCCCAACATTTGGAGCTTCTGTCTGATTCACTGTGAGAAAACTTGAGCTACAGTACTTATTGAGCCCCAGTCAGCTGAGTGAGACAGAACCACTCTTCACACGCAGAAGGCTTCCATCCAAAAGGAATGAAGATATGGAAAGGAATTACAGCTTATAGGAATAAATAATGGGTTTGGAAACCTTGGCTTTATTTATATGTAAATAAATTTCTTATGGTATACGGTAAATTCCTTATGGTAAAATAAATTTCTTATGATTCTTAGGATTATAGGCTTATGCCTATAATCCTAGCTACTCATGAGACTGAGATATGAGAATCACAATTCAAAGCCAGCCCAGGCAGGAAGTTCATAGACTCCTTTCTCTGAGACTCTTACCTCTAATTACCCACCCAAAATCTGGAAGTGGAGCTGTCTCAAGTGATAGATAGATAGTCTTGAGAAAAAAAAATCAGGGATAATACCCAGGCCCTGAGTTCAAGCCCTAGGACACGCACACAAAATGCCCCTTCAAGCCAGACACCGATGGCTCACACTTGTAATCCTAATTACTCAGGAAGCTGAGTTCTGAGGATCATGGTTCAAAGCCAGTCCAGGCAGAAAAGTCTTATCTCTAATTAACCAGCAAAAAGCTAGATGTGGAAATGTAGCTCAAGTAGTACAGCACCAGCCTTGAGGGAAAATAAAAGCCATCTGAGACTGTTAAGCCCTAAATTTGACCCCCAGTACCAAGACACACACACACACACACACACACACACACACACACACACCTACTTCAATATGATGCATGCAAAGCTGGGACACACACACACACACACCTACTTCAATATGATGCATGCAAAGCTGGGATGGTTTCCATCACAGGGGCAAATGCAAGAATCCATCATGAGCTGATACATTAGGAGGTCACCCAAAAGCAAACCAACAAGCACCCAAACCTGTTGCTGTCCTCAGTGCAAGATCAAGTCATGGTTGCTAAAGACGTGGGTGTTGGCATTATGGGTTAACTTCTGTGCTTGCTCCTACTGTCTGTGCTCCTTGTTCAGCACTTACAATACTGCCTGTCCCAGCAAGGCAAACCACGAATAAATATGTATTGGATGCAAACACTGCTAATTACACCACCTGTGTCAGAGGACTCGGGAGACGCCTGAGGATCTGTGTGTAACAAGCTTTCCCGGGAGCCAGCCTGACTGGATGCCCATTTTACTGGCCCCACTCACAGAGGGTCCTGGCATTACAACCAGCCTAGAAGTGGCCTTGTCTCCCTTTTGGTGGAGGGCCTGCCTCAGCTTCTTTCAGCACCTCACATTGAGTCACTTGTCACCAGTCACAGTGCCTTCTTTTACCTGGCCTGGACTCCATACTTCCTTTGTACCCCACCTCCTCTCTGTAAATTAACCATCATTTCATTTTCCTGCTCTGTTTCTCTCTCTGGCTTACATCATGAAACCCACACACCCTAGCATATCTTAGATCTGCCACCCACCTGGCCCCTCAGTCTCTCCCCTCTCCCCCTGCCCGTCTCCCAGTTCTCCCTTGCTCTTCCTGCTGAGGCTAACCTTGGAAGGCTTGACCATCTCTGGTTTTCTGTCTCTATCTAGCAGCTGGACCAGCCTGTGTTTTCTTCTGAAATACATGCTGCATCCTAGTGCCACTTTTATCAAATCCTCCAAACATTTCTTCCGTGGAGCTTCTTGCTCCTTGCTCATATTCTTGCCGTGGATTTTGTTAGCTTGTATGTCTGATGAGAAAGTCTGTTTGTAGAAGGCAATGGGTGTGTTCTTCTCCAGTACTTTGCATTTAGTACTAAATATTTGTTGATTTCATCAAAGCTAATATTATTGAAAGTTTGGCCAATCAACTGATACAAAACCAATCTTTAGTCCCCTGTGAAGCTGAGAGTTCCCTGTGACTTGTCATTCTTTTCTTTGTAAGCCAGGTCAACAGGTGGACCAGAGTTGGGTGATATTAAAGAAGACAGTTTGCAAACTGAATCTTTCATACGTGTGTGTGTGTGTGTGTGTGTGTGTCTCCTGGGGCTGGGACTCAGGGCCTAGGAGCTGTTCCTGAGCTTTTGTGCTCAAGGGTAGCGCTCTACACTTGAGCCACAGCCCTACTTCCAGCTTTTTGGTGGTTAATTGGAGATAAAAGTCTTACAGACTTTTCTGCCTGGGCTGGCTTTGAACTGCAGTCCTCAGACCCCAGCCTTCTGAGTAGCTAGTATTATAGGCATGAGTCACTAGCACCCAGCTTTCATACCTTTTTAAGAGACAGAGTGAGGGTCACCAGAGAAGGAAATGTAGCCTCAGAGAAGCAGGCAGAGACTGTCAGTACCGGGGTCTCTAGGGCTTTGGCGCGGCAATCACCACTCTGCCTCAGGTCCCTCCCCGCTCCCCGCTTACCAGGGATGCAGGGGTGGGGGAACCCAGCACCCATATTCCCATGTGGCTCAGACCTAAGAGAGCAAATCCTCCACCCAAATTAGAGGCTGGGCAGAGAGCTCAGGACAAACTTATACACGATTCAAAAGCTTTTATTTTGCTGACTTCAAGGGGTTATATTGGGGTGAATTTTGAAAAGTTGTGTCATAAATGGATGCATTGAAAAGTTTTTATAGGTTGAGATCAGAAAACACAAACCTATTATTTTTGAAAGATGCAAGTCCTCATACTGCAATAATGATTTGTCTGTTTATCTGGCCCAGGTTCCTTGCACTGACTCCATGGAGGGTATATCATCTGATTTCTGTCATGATACTTGGACGAGTTATTATGCAAATAATAAAGGATATGGTGCTGTCTAGAACGAGAGGTAAGTAGACACAGATTTCGTTTTTATGTATCTCACTGAATTTGTGTTTTATATAGGTATATTAGCCAGTGGATCCTTTGAACAGGAGCAGAGTAATAGATTACATAGACATTGATTTTGCTATTTTCAACATGATAATTTCTTTGATGGCTGTCATCTCTGATCAGAGCTATAGCTACTGGGCCAAAGGTTTGTGTGTGCTGGTTTCTGTCTTGGCTGTAAGTGCTATTTCAAACACCACTTCGGCATTTATGTAGGCTACGCTGAGAACAGCAGTTAAACATTTATTGCTCCTCAAATGAAACTAGGTCACAAGAAAATGGATTCGTTTATAATTTTCTCTGCCTCAGTGAAGAAAAAAACTAATTGGAAACAAATGCCGGTTGCATCAATTAGCAATGAATGACAATTAATTAATTGTAAACATTAAGTTTGAAAATGAGAATTTGAGTATTCTAAATTTCAGCCAGGTAACTTTGGTGTAGGCCTGGAATCCTAGCTACTCAGGAGGCTGAGATCTGAGGATTTTGGTTTGAAGCCAGACCAGGCAGGATGTCCATGAGACTCTTATCTCTAGTTAATGACCGAGAAACCAAAGTGGAGATGTGGCTCAAGTGGTAGAGAGCCAGCCTTGAGTGAAAAAGCATAGCAACAGCACCCAGGCCCTGAGCTCAAACCCTCATGCTGGCACACAGATAAAAAGTATTCTTTAACATTTACTTATTTTTTGGAAATTAAACATTTCAGAAATTTAACTGTATTATAAGTCTGAACATGCTTTTCTATATTTGAAAGCTCTCTTATTTGTATCTGAGGTAGTTTTTGTCAACAGACAAGAATTCCTCCGGGAACTTATTGAGCCTGTGAACCTTCATGATGTAATATGATAGATATGCTCAAAAGTAGTCAAGAGGAGGCTTAAAGGGAGTTCCTCCTTTCACTAAGTGGAAGGATGTTTTCGTTGGGGCCTATGGGGTTGATGTGTAGAAGAACTGCCCAGTTTTCTCCTGGGTTGAGGGAGGCACCTTCTCCCTAGTGCCAGCTGAGTTAGATAGAAGCTGACACGGGAGGGTGTCAGCTTGATGCTTTGAGTCTTTCCAGTTCTCCTAAACTAAGCCGTCAGGTCAATGTTTAGAAAGACTGTTCAGTGACTTTCCATCCAAGTTTGCAGGTGCTAGACTCTTAGGATGATGAGCACATTTATTGTCCACATTTGTCCACATTTCCTAAATCTGTAGATTTAGATTACATTCAGGCATACACACTTTTCTCTCTCCTTTTCTCTTATTTCTCCATCCCATCATCTATTTGAATGTCAGAGAACAGACACTCAGCTCACTCCCACTCAACTTTTATAAGCCGTGCTTTGATGCCTTCTGTTTACACCAGGCATGAGTCCACTCTCAGGTGGAGCTCCACTGTGCCTCAGGGTTTGGTGAGTGGGTAGGTTGTTGGTCCATAGTGGGTCTTGTTTCTGCCTTGACTCCCATCCCATGGAGGAGGGCTCATTTTCCCCCAGCAGACTGTGACATGTCCCCTCTAGAACTCCTGATGGACTCCGAGAAGACTCAGGCACTTGCAGGATTCTTCAGCAGCCCTTTCAGCGCAATAGGTTAAGAATAGAAAGTGACACACCTCATGTTTTTCAGTTGTGTATCAAATTTGGCCCTCATCTGGGCACAGAAGAATAAGAACAAAGCTGAAAGACTCCAAAGAACCCGGGGATTTCTAAACAATAGCAAGCTCTCAATATGAGTTGGGAACTTGGATAGGTAGGCTGTCTTACAGGCACCGACCTGCCCTTTCATGCAACATTCCTCTAATTGCTCTGGGGTCAGAAGTGGTTAAAGTGGATGATGATACAGGGTGTTTTTATTTATTAAGACTTGCTGGCCTTATTTAAAAAAATAGAGAAATGACTATGAACGCTGGACATGAACAGGGAGGGCTAGAACAGGACAGAACCTCTGCAGTGCTGAGTGGGGGCTGACTGCCCCACGGGGAGGGGTAGAGAAAGGAAGTCTGGCCAAAGACAGGGCTGGACTGGCAAGGGCAGCTGGACACCTGTGGCTCACACCTATAATCCTAGCTACTCAGGAGGCTGAGACCTGAGGATCACGGTTTGAAGCCAACTTGGGGCAGAAAAGTGCATGAGCCTCTTATCTGCAGCTCCAGTTAACACCCCCAACTGGATGTGGTATTGTGGCTCAAAGTGTTAGAGCACTAACCTTGAGCTAAAAATTAGTTCAGGGTCAGTGCCCAGACCCTGAGCTCAAGCCCCACAACTGATCACCTTCCCCCCCCCACCCCCCACCGTAAAAATAGGCAAGGGGTGGAGCAGGGAAAGCCAACCAATAGTCAAAGGTGCAGCAGGAGCAGGCATCAAGGACATGGGCCGAGTGCACTTGACTTTCAGTGCAAATGCTAAGGGCAGAGACAAGGCTACTGCTTGTGGGTCTTGGCTAAGCCGAGATGGATTGGCAGTGAGTGGCGTGTGGCATGGAGGACTGCCATCCCTGGGCCCCGTCCCTTTTTGTGTCCGTTCTCGACAGCAGTGAAGGTACTGAACTGCCGGGCAGAAATGGACAGTGTAGATTTCACAGGAAGGGAGCAAACGCTCCCCAGGTGTCTGTGGAGAGTGAGGGGGACATATGCAGGGCCCTGCCCCCACCCACAGCTAGAAACCGAATATCCCAATGAGAGCCTGAAGTGGAAAGAGGTTAAAGAGAGAAAAAGAGCGAGCGAGGGAGGAGACCTCTGTAGTTGAAGGTTGCTAATAGCAGCAGTTCACAATTAGACATGCGTTCTGTAGCATGCACGAGATAGGTCTCTGCTACTTCTTCCCCCATTTATTTCATAATAACTGGGAGTAATCAAACTCACAGGAGAGCCTGGGGGAAGGGACAGCTCGGAGTCGCTGTTCAGTGAGTACAGAGGCCCAGCCATCAAAGATGGACGCATTTGAGATGTGCTGGTCAGCATGGTGCCATGATGCCGTACTCTAAAAATTTGTTAAGAAAATAAAACCATAATAATTGATGTGTATTTTGTCTGTCCTATTGGACATAGAGTCTGTGAGACAGAGGTAATTTGTGACAGAATGTCTCTTCGCTTATGGTACCTATTCAGTGTTTTACACAAAGTAGGAGCTCAGTAATATCTGTGGCTTATTGCTGGCCCCATGACCAGCGATATACACGGTAGGATTTGATGCAGTCCACTTTATTTAGTGCCGGACATTTCTAAGTTGGGGAACACCTCAGGTGAGCAAGACCTGGGCTGTCTCTCATGTTTCCCTTCTTCCTGTTGCAGGTGCACAGTTGTGGAGAAGCCTCAGTGAAAGGTATGGGACATTCTTTCCATTACATGGTGATGCATCAATTTTAGTGATAAGACCCGAGTCTTAACAGTAATTTGTAAAAGTAGAAAAAAAATACAGTAAAACAGAGGACAAGGACAAAATGGGAACTCACGCTAGGAATGCGTTGTCTTTCTGTAGTGTTGGGCACTGTGAGTTCCGTGTGAGGCTTTGGAAGTGCAGAGGCAAGCCATTGCCACTTGGGCTCTCCTTTCAGACCTAATGGGTTGGGGCATAAACAATGCTGTTGTTATGGGAGAACCAGGTCACACTCAGTTGGAGAACTCTGTTGGAATGTTCTTGAAGAATTATGCATGGTGTCAGCTCAGAGGACTGGCGTGGGAGAAAAGGAGGGTAGGAGTCTCTTAGGTGTGAAGGTATTGCCACAGTCACTTAACCTCTTGTCCCGCTGGGGACAGTATCAGCAACTTTTACTTACGATGGTCATGGCCCCTGTAATGTGTTTTCCAAGTGGAGAAAAAAGCCGGCGGGTGACAGAGGGAATGCAGTTCATGTCACCACTAGCCTATGAAGAATATAAAGACAAAGATGAGGGGCAACAGTGAAGTTTTGTAGCAGTTGGTGTTTTGAGAAGATTAGTTTTGCCTTAACAGAAGTCTGTATTGCTTACAAAGGAGAGGTGGGGTACTTGGCTTGTGTTGAAATAATTATGTGAATTGGAAAAGTGCAGTGGGGAAGCACTATCCCTGCACACACTTCCTGTCATAGCACAGGTGCAATGAGCAATGAAGCATAATTAATCTGGGGCATTCCTACAGCCTCAGTCCTGGCTTGGTTTAGGCCCCTCAGCCCTCACCTCAGGCCACTTCCGGTTCTGGGAGTCAGGATACACACCACAGTGCATTTGTTCATTCTCTCAGCCCTCACCTCAGGCCACTTCCCATTCCGTCTGGGCGCATACTGTTTCCTGTCTGGCCAGCTCAGCTGCTCTGGGTTCTGATGGTTGTTGATACGCTGCTGTGGGTCCTGACAGCTGTGAGGTCTGCCTTGCGTTGTGTGTTGCCAGGTGTCCCTGTGACATTTCTGCCATATCTCTCTCATGATTGTGGGTTCTCTGTGCCCAGGACAAGACTACCAGAGGGTAAGGTATGGTTTTAGTCACCTACAACTGAGGGTCACAATGGGGTTCCCATCATGTGGTCCTGTCTCTCCAGGTCAGCTCCTTTAAGCAGGGATCCCTGCCCTCTTTTCACCTCTCTCTAGGTTGGTTCCTTTAAGTGGATTTCATTGGGTAAATTGAGTTAGGGTCCTAAGGCCACCAAGAGGGATCTGAGTGTAGGCAGGTGGGCCAAGTCTGTCCTGGCCCTGAGGTCCCAGGTTCTAGTCTTGCCCAGAGCAGACAGGCTGAACCACCCCAGGTAGAGTCGTAAGCCTTCTGAGCCTGGGTTTTGCATTCACGGGGTAGGAAAACCCAGGCTTTCTCTCTAGTTGTAAACTAGTGAGATTTCAAAGGATTTAAAGCACACAGTTGCGCCCTTTGATGCTGAGCTCTCAGATTTATTGACAGAGTTTGATCATTGTCTCTTGCAATGGTTTGACTAAATCCCTTCAAATCCCCAAAGCAGCTGGGAGGTGAGGCCTGACAGGAAATGTGTAGGTCATGAAGACTATGCCCTGGAACTTACCAGAGGGCCGAGGCTGCAAATCTGAGCTCTTGGTGCGTCTGGCCATCACACCTCCTACCTTCACAGTGCAGGTGAAGGCCCTCACAAGGTGCAGCTTTTCAGACAGTACTGGGATTTGAACTCAGGGTTTTGCACTTGCTAGCCCCTTGAGCCATGCTCTTAGCTCTTTGTGCTTTCTAATAGGGCCTTGCTTTTTATCCATGCTGGCCTGGGCTGGGATCCTCCCATTTATGTGTTCTACTTGGCTGGAATGACAGGTGCACACCACCATGCTCAACTTTTTATTGGTTGGTTTAGAGCCTTGTAAACTTTTTCACTGGGCTGGTCTCAAACTGTGATCCTTCTGATGTAAATAGCTGGGATTACAGACGTGAGCCTTTGTATCCGGCTCATGTCTCCTTTTAAAAACATAAAAGAGTCTTGAGTCTTATTTTCCTTAATAAATATAGATTAGAAAGAAACATCAAACTCTTAACGATCATTCATTTCCTTCACCAGTTCCCTAATGGCTGGTTTATAATGTGACACAGATTAAGGCGTGATTCTTCTCATTACAAAGCTTTCTGGTTGGTTTGTTTTCTGGGGACAGTGTCAGACCCTGAGCCCCAGCCTCCTTTGTCATCTCCCAGTGCTGGGACCCGAGGCACTCAGACCACGCCTGGGTTCTTAACTCTTCTCTATTGCTCAGTGTCAGTTTATATAACATAAATCTTTTTCCAGAGTCTTTAAAGTAGGAAGGTTAAGGAGCACGGCTGACATTCCAGGATTTTCGACAGAAGTGCTGGAGTCCACCCGCGTCCAGTGTATGTTTATTTGCAGGAGTTGGGGAACTTTCCCAGTGCTGGAGCTGGGGTGTGCGTGCGCCCGTATCTGGAGCGAAGTCTTGGGTGGCAGGCACAGGAATGGCAGGCTGTTGTTTGTAGGGTCAGCGGGGTTGATAGCATAGCCCGACCTTCTTGCCTCAGCACGGGCAGGTTACAGGGACCCCTCCCGGACCACGGCCCTTGCGCTCGCCTTCTCTTTCCATACTTCATACGTGTGCTTCCTTCTCCGAAAAAAAAAATGCCTTTTTGTTTGGTGGGGTGCCCATGATTGCCAGCTCCCTAGCTGCCTCTGTGTTGTGAGAGGCTGAACAGAGAAAACCCAGAATCCTTGATGGTTAAATCTGAGTCCTGAGACTTGACTCAGCTCTAGGCCAGAGCCAACTGGAAGAGTGTTTAAATGAGATGTTAGTGAATCCTGACAATAGTACGCCACTATTAACACTGAGACGTTGGCTGGGGGCTGGGGGTCACACGTGTAATCCGACTACTAGGAGGCTGAGATCTGAAGATTGCAAAGTCCGTGAGGGTCTTTATCTCTTCTGAAAAGCCAGAAGTGGCTCAAGTAGTAAAGTACCAGCCTTTAGCCAAAACCTAAGGGAGACCTGAGTACTAGTGTATGTGTATGTGTGTATACATACACACATAGAAAATGACACACATAGAAAAATGACAGGTCAGCTAGCATCACTAAACCTGCTTTTTGAGCAGGAACTTAGTGAGGAGACTTCTAGTTATGACTCGTTGGAATTGCATAGGTGGGGGGTAGAAAGAGCTGATCACCGATGCTTTCACGTCTGCCCAGAACACGAATTCTGACTCTTACTGTAGAAACGACTGGACTTCACAGTTTTGTGTCTTTGAGGCCCTGTCACTCTCAGACTGTAACCCTGTACCTCCCGCCTTGCTAAAAGGGACACTGTTTGAGAGCTGGGGCGCTTAGATTTATGTTCAGCCAGTATGGACAGCGAGCCACATCCCCAGGACGTTTACAAGAAATTCTTGCTTGAAGGAGAAATCAGATTGGCTTAAATGAGGGGAAAATTGTCCTCCGAAAAATCAAAACAAAACCCAACCAATCCCTGCGCTTCAGAATATGCTGGACACCAGAGAGTGGGTGTGAGTTCCAGCCAGCCTTTGTCCGGCAGGCCCCGGGGGCGCGCCGCCCTGGCAGTCTGTCCTGTGCCAACACTGAACCCAATGGGCCTTTTATTCCCATTTTCAAAAATAATAAGTGAGTGCCATTGTGCAGTCATGCAGCGCACAATGGTGAGCCAAAGCCCCTTTCTTCCTCCCCTGACAAGAGAGGGGAGCCATTCATCGTCCCGCAGCAGCCCTGGGCTGGCGGGCCCGGCTCGGGCCTCTGAGCTCTCCCTCCCGATTCCCATCAGCAGTGACGGTGCTTGCTGCGTGTGCTGGGAATGGACAGCTGTTCCCTGCAGAGCTCATGTGGAGGGCAGCGGTGGGATGATGCCTCCCGCCTCTCACCAGCCACAGTGTACTCACCTGACCAGGATTGCTGAGCCTTGGCGTGTCTCAGGCTAGGTGCTGAAGGCCTCGCTGAAGTCACTGCGCAGCCAGCACGGGTGGCCCAGGGAGCGCCCTCTACTCGTGGGTGTGGACCTTGGTGACAGTGATTAGAGGTTTTATTTCTCAAGGAAATAAAAAGGATATGGAGCAGGTGATACACCGCACTGTCCCTGAGCTTCTTTTGCTCAAGCCTAACGCTCTACCATTTGAGCCACAGCGCCACTTCCGGCTTTTTCTATTTATGTGCTGCTGAGGAATCGAACCCAGGGCCTCATGCATGCAAGGCAAGCACTCTACCACTGAACCACCTTCCCAGCCCATCACTAGCATTTTTTTGATCTCCGCCTCCTGAGTAGAAGTATTATAGACTGACTTTTTGAAATTTTGCTTATCCTTTTTGCATTTTCTTCCTTCTTAATAAGCACAGCTTTTTCAAGAGGGAAAAGAAGATCTCAGTGAAAGAGAGAGTCTCAGCAGGCAGCTGACACAACCGGGCTGCGGTGGGAGCAGCACCCTGGGAACTCGGTGCTCAGGGCTCTGGCGGCTGAGCTGCTATCTGGAGACGGCTCTGCTTACGTAACAGGCGGGAGACGAGTGAGCTCAGACATTGGGAACCAACTCGGAGTCCAGAGGGGCCTCTGGACAAGTAAGCCCGAACTCTGGATGGAGCCCCACAGCCCAGTGGCACTTCACACAAAGCCTCACGAAACTAGATTTCCAGACAATGGCTTCCCGAGGAGTGGGATCAACGTTCTTGCTTCCTGAGGCTCTGAGCTGGGCTTCCCAGGGACAGGTAGCGACCTAAGAGCCCAGTTCTCAGGACCTGCTGACCCGCCAAGAGTGGATCGGGAACCATCTGGAAAGGCCTTGTATCCCTAGAGTGGCTGTGAGTCTCCAGCCTGCGGTCCTCAGGCAACTTCAACAGAAAGGCACCGCCACGGGTGCTGTGTTCTCAGCATTGGCTCCCAGGCTTCTGTCAGTCACTGTC